TAAGCAAACAAAAAAAGGGCAGTGAGATGTCTGGCGTAGAAGTAGCAGAGCAGTTACAAGAAGCGCTCAAAACAACAGCTTTTCTTACATAAAAGAGAGAAGCTTACGACGACGTTTCGGTCCGACTTGGACCATTGACAAAGTCACACTAGTGTGACTTTGTCAATGGTCCAAGTGTGCGGGTTATTTGTGTATCGTTCCAGTCACGGTATTGTGCCTTTTTTGTTATTTAACAGCTTTTCTTATGTTCAGAGATTTACGTGTATCGCTAGTGGTGTGAGAATGGGATCCTTAGGTTGAAATCTGCTTGACGCCTTAAAAACTTGTATTCCACACCGTACCTCTGGTGTGCTTTTTCTGGAGATGGCATCTTGACCCCCTCCCCAATCCTTCCCGTACATTCATCTCTAACTTTCCCTAACTGTCACTCTCATACCCACCCTCTCTCTCACCATTTTATGCATTTCAAGTATATATATTTATTCTCAGATAATCATATTCACCTCACTCATAGCATTTAGGTGAGACTAGTAGACACCAACAAGTAATTTCCTCCTCAGCGACAGCGTCCTGTAGTTCCTGGGTTACTAGACTTGATTCATATACTATATAATGGGATCGTCCTGGATGGCTGCTGCCTATTAACCTACTACCTTGTTCTGCCAGTCTACAATTCACATACCTGTACACCATTTTTAAAGTTCCACTCTTGCATCCCTGCTTAACGCCAGACTTCCCTGCTGACTCTGGTCAAACAAGCTTCTGCTGCTGCTAGCAGTTGCTGCCGCCAGGACCCGCAGGCAAACCCAGCCATCATCATAACCTGGTATTTTTTTTTTTTTGCAGAAACTAACCCTGTTCCCTCTGTGTTAGTGACATTTACATAGCCTGTAAGTTTGTTGATGGACATTTACAGAAGGCTGAGTAATGTATCAAAGCTTCGTGGCACGCGCCGCTGGACAGAAATGCTAACAGTCCGCAATCATTAACATTTATTTTGGTAAGGGCAAACGTAGCGCTTATACACTGCCTGGCTCTCAACCTTGAGCACATGTGCAAATGGCACCCTCTTGCCCCAAGTCACAGAGCTAATTTAATTCTAAGCCTTTATGAAGACAGTGTTGTTTTCTATTGCCTTTTTAAATATAAATGGATCTCTCATCCCATTTCACGCAATATACATTCGATTTCACTAATTCACTGAGCATTAATGGAAAAAACTTACTCAGTTGTGGTTTAAAAAATGAAAATGTAAAAATCTTTCACAGAAAGCACACAGAAATCACTCCCTACGAAAGTAAAAGACTGGGCAGGCGATGCAAATTACCCCCAATTAAAAGTAGGGGCGCCATTGGTACACTAAAAGAAAACACCATAAGTGTCCGAGGCCTAAGATTGTTCAACAGCCTCCCATCAAGCATTAGGGGAATTACCAATAATCCCCTGGCTGCCTTCAGAGAGAGACTGGACAGATACCTAAAGTCAGTGCCGGATCAGCCAGGCTGTGGCTCGTACGTCGGACTGCGTGCGGCCAGCAGTAACAGCCTGGTTGATCAGGCCCTGATCCACCAGGCGGCCTGGTCATGGACCGGGCCGCGGGGGCGTTGATCCCCGGAATAACCTCCAGGTAACCAGGTAACCAATATAGGAGGAAGCGTAAGAGCGCCGGTGACATCTTTTCCACTTAGGATTTCCCACCTTACCAACAAGTGTTAAAACCGAGTTACTATTTTTAATGACGCCCGGGGGAACTTGCAGGTTTTTAAAGAAGATATTTTTTTTGTTTTAGTTTTCTGAGTCAGAACCGCAAGTTTAAAGACTTGTGGTGGATATGGCGGTTAGATAGATCTGGTTAATACCAAAGAAACAGAGGGAGAGAACATGGAGGGAAGGTGAGAAGTGAGAGAGGAATGTATGTAGGTATGTGTGTGTGTGTGTGTGTGTGTGTGTGTGTGTGTGTGTGTGTGTGTGTGTGTGTGTGTGTGTGTGTGTGTGTGTGAGTGTGTGTGTGAATGTATGTGTGTACGCATGTGTATGTGTGTAGGCATATATGTGTGTGTATGTATGCATGTATGTATATATGCGATAAGATCACAGTAAACAGGTTATATCACAATATGCAGAATAACCACTATTAAAAAATAGTGAAATTCCACCAGCATTCGTGATTTCTCACATTGTCAGAAATCACGAAATGCGCTTAGAATTTCACTGTTTTTTTCTCAGTGGTTATTCTGCGTATGTATATATGTATGAATGTATGTATGTAGGTAAGGAGGGAGGGGGATGGGATGAAGGTAGGCAGGCAGGGGTAAGGAGGACCGGAGGAAGGTAGGTAGGTAGGTACAACATGTAAGGAGGTACCGAGGGAGGGACGAACGTATGTTTTTTTTTTATTAAACAAAAAGTGGATATATCAGCACTGTGCTGTTACCCTATTCTATTTGACAGTTAAATAGCGGGGAGAAAGCTAACTATACTTCCCTTGTCATATTCCATCATGTAGGATGAAGATCATACAAGAAGTTAAAATCTGCCAGCATGAGCTGGGAGACTTCAGTAAGGTGATGAGGATATCGTCAAGTATAACAGAGTTCATCGGCTACGGTAGCTTCAAAGGTGTCGTTCCAGCATTGCTGGAGTTAATATCGCTTGGCAACTGTCATCTCTCAAGATAGTCTGGAATTTTTGAAGATTTCTCCATCATCCAAGAGTGAGGAGGCAAGAGAAATTCTGCGCGGTATCAGAAGATACCGCGCAGAATTTCTCATAAGCTTAAGGATATATAATGACGTTAACCTCGTGATGAATTTTCCTTTTTTTTCCTGGTTTCCTTTCATGAAAATTGTTCAGAAAAAACTGCTACTCTCTTCTACATGATGATTACACATGCGCTTTGATGCATATGTGCTCATACATGCATATACCTACATTTATGTACATACATATACACAATACACACACATTATGTACATACATTTGCATACAACTAGAGAATCACTAGGTGCTAATAAATGTTGGCTAATTCAGAGTGGACAATGAAGATATCCCAAGCACCAGAGTATTTGAAGTATTTATACATTTCCAAGTAGACATTCCCCCAGATCTAAGGTTACTGACAACTGGGCAATCTACTATTTCATGATTAAGGTCGTGTACCTCCTCTTATTCATAGAGCTTACGTGTCGAATAAGCAGGGATGGTAGGTCCACCTGTGGCTGCATGCATCTGCTACATGTGAAGATAGGAAGGGAGTAAGGGAAGAAGGGGGAGGAAATAAGTGACGAAGGCAGGCAAGGAAAAACAGAAGGGAAGGGAGAGAAGGTAAAAAATAGGGTTGAGACTCTCAAAAGCATTCTTCCATAGCTGGTCTACCTGGAGGGTATTCCGGGGATCAACGACCCCGCGGCCCGGTCCATGACCAAGCTTCTCTGTGGATCAGCGCCTATCAACTAGGCTGTTACTGCTGGCCGCAAGTAGTCCAACGTACGAAGCACAATCCAGCTGATCCGTTCTTGACTTTAGGTATCTGTCCAGCTCCCTCTTGAATGCAGCCAGGGTCTACTGGTAATTCCCCTTACGCCCGGTGGGAGGCTGTTGAACAGTTTTGCGCCCGGGACACTTACTGTTTTCTCTTAGTATACTAATGGTGCCCCTACTTTTCACTGGAAGTATGTTGCACTGCCTGCCAAGTCTTATGATTTCGTAGGGAGTGATTTCTGTGTGCAGATTAGGGACCAGTTCCAGATTATCATGTCTCTCTCTTGCCAGTGAGTGCAAGTGCTTCCAAGCGTTCCCATATAATTATACGTAATGTGCATCTGGAAAATACTGTACATTTAAAATAATCCTTTACCTTACACTAAGGGAGGGAGGAACGCTCTGCGAGACTATCTCGGAAAAAATCGAAAATTTTTGAAAAAAAAAAAAAAAAAAGTTTTCTTACCAAAAAAATAGTGCATAATTCTGGCATCATTCTGATATAATCAGCTTGTTTCTAGCACATTTCTAAGTATCTTTTTCAATTTTTTTTGTTGCTGAGGTCATCAAGACGACAGGATGCCAATTCGGGTTTTTTTTTTTTTTTTACTCCAGAAATTACGATTTTTATGATTGTTTTTATTCAAATATACTTGTTGGCATCTCCTGAATCGACAAGTGATCACTGTGCACACAGTGACTTATGAGTCGCCGATCAGGGTTGAGTTATGATGGTCAGTGAAAGGTGGCTCGCGGCCACCCTAGTTTCATTCAAACTATTTATGTGAATAACTCAGGAATTAGTTTTTATTTTCCTTTTTTTTTTTGCGAAGAGTTTTTATAGGAGCATCATGATTTTTTTTTCACACGTTATTGAGGAATGATTGTTCTATAATCAAAGAGAGGAGATTTACGATATGTATTACCGTTTTGTTTTCATGGATTTTTTTTCCTAAAAAAAGAAAAAAAAGAAAAAAAAAGAAAAAATCAACATTTTGTATAATGCAGTCTACTGACATTTCGCTCATTTCCCTCTAAACGATGATTATCTCGTTCTTTATCTTTCGTCTGATGTCAACTAGAACATTGTACATGTTACCAAATTTGTTGAAAAAGGATTCTTGTAAGACCTATAGAATATAACAATTTTATTTTTTTTCTAACTATAAGGAAAAAAGTGAAAAGAAACACATTGTGTAGGTTTCAAATGCTGCTTAATTCACAGGAAAAATTTCATTAAAATTAGAAAAAAAAAACAGGGTAAAAACGCTCCCCCCCCCCCAACACTGCCTCTCCACCCTAACACTGCCTCTCCACCCTAACACTGCCTCTCCACTTCCCTTTCTGTCTTCAGGATCGTAAATAATTATTCAAGATATAATAGCACTAATAAACACTATTTCCAATAATGCCTTGCTATTTGCCGCCTTCCACGTCACATCTAGGAGGATGAAATCTCCGAGGATAATAACTGCTGTAAGATTTTCGTGGTTTTCGAGGGAGTTATCTATTTTCCTTACCCGTTCCATGAATTCCTCAGCCATTGTTGAAGGTGGATTATATACCAGGGTGATCTGCTTGAATCTTGTTTTAATACCTTGTGCCTCTAGCTTATTGTTTGATGAATTTAACAGTTCTAAGCAGCAAAATGTTTCTTTCACATTAAATCCTACTGATTCCTGCGACTTATTTAATCTTTCAGATTTATAAACCTTGTAATTTCATAAAGAACAAAAAGGTATAATATCTTCATTGGAATACACAAATAACTCGCACATTGGAGAGGAAAATGCTTATGACGACGTTTCGGTCCGTCTCGGACCAATCATAAGTCACACAGACCGAGGAGAGTGAGTGAGTCATATATTTGTAGGCGAGGAAGACAGGAAAGAGAGGAGGAAAAAGAAGTATTGGTAATGGTAATGAATTACTACTCTTTCTCTCGTCCCTGTCCTCCTCGCCTGTATGTACTGGCTCACTCTATCTTTTGTATGTCTAACTTGTGAATGGTCAAAGATGGACCGAAACGTCGTTATAAGTTTTTCTCTCTGCTATATGCGAGTTATTTGTGCATTATAATTGCCAACTATATTTCACTGTCCTCGACATCCCTGGTTTGAGTTTATGTGAATACTGCAGGCACAGCATGTGTTTACGTAAGTGCTGCAAGTATAGCATGTGTTTTTGTGAGTGCTGCAAGCATAGCATGTGTTCTGTGAATGCTGCAAGCATAGCATGTGTTTCTGTGAGTGCTGCAAGCATAGCATCTGTTTCTGTGAATGCTGCAAGCATAGCATGTGTTTCTGTGAGTGCTGCAAGCATAACATGTGTTTCTGTGAGTGCTGTAAGCATAGCATGTGTTTCTGTGAGTGCTGTAAGCATAGCATGTGTTTCTGTGAATGCTGCAAGCATAGCATCTGTTTCTGTGAATGCTGCAAGCATAGCATGTTTTTCTGTGAGTGCTGCAAGCATAACATGTGTTTCTGTGAGTGATGCAAGCATAGCATGTGCTTCTGTGAGTGCTAGAAGCATAGCATGTGTTTCTGTGAGTGCTGGAGGCTTAGCATGTGTTTCGGTGAGTGCTGGAAGCATAGAATGTGTTTCTGTGAGGAGTCCACTTGTATCGTTAATTATCTTTCAAATTTTAATATTTTTTCAGACCCTGAATGTTAGCAAATTGGAAGGAAGACTTACCATTTGGGATGCTTGGGCTCAGTGTGGGTTCTGTTAGTCCCTCTGGTTCTGTAATCTTAATATAGCTCTTGATGTTCATATCCCCCGGGTCAGTAAGTACTGACTGATGTTGACTGTTGTTTCTTTAGCCGTGTTCCACTGCCAAGTGTTTGTATCTCCTGGGTTTCTTTTTTCTTATTTTTAATGGTGTCTTTCTCCCTAAAAATTTAGTTGTTGTTTGCTATACCTTCGGCATCTTCATACGTATGTCTTTGTGTCCTCTTTATATGGAACTTGGGGCAACTTAGGGACTATGGAGTTACGGAAAAAAAAGGGAGAAAATCGTCACTGGAAGATCGTTTAAATGCAAATGTGAGAAATTCTTACGCTACAATGTATGAATGGAGAAATACCAAAAACTGCTGTTTAAAAAGGTAAAAAATGGCTACCAGAACTGAAGAATGATGAAAGACTGAAACCATAAAGATGTCCACTCTGGCTGATAAAAGAAAAAGAGGAGACATAATACCACATATAAGATCGCAAAAGAACATAAAATATTAAAGAGGATTTCTTTGTACCTGAAACAGTAAAATCAAGAGGCCATAGCTGTGAACAGAAAAAAACGGAGTCAACTGTGAACAGAAAATAACGGAGTCAACTGTGAACAGAAAAAAACGGAGTCAACTGTGAACAGAAAAAAGTGGAGTCAACTGTGAACAGAAAACAAGTGGAGTCAATCTAATAGAAATTTTTCTTCGGAAAAAAAAGGGAGTGACAGATCAATGAAATACTTTAAGAGAGGAAGTAGTAAATGTGGCAACTATTAGACATTTTAAATTATATTATGAACAAATTATTGAAGACGGTACACCACGAGCACAGCTTTGTTTCTGTAGTTATAAACAGGTAATTACACACACACACACATGGTGGGGCGGCCTCATTCCCAGATACATCTACATCGGCCAAGCCGCCCGGCCATCCCTTGTCGTTACTTACACTCACTCGCGCGCGCGCGCGCACGCAACACACACCACACACACACACACACACACACACACAACACACACACAAAACACACACACGCTCACACACTCACACACTCACACACTCACACGCTCCCCACTCACACTCACACACACCACAACACACACCACACACACACACAACACCGCTCACACACTCACACACTCACCCTCCCACTCACATCTCTACACACAACACACACACACACGCTAACACACACACATCACACACACACACACACTCACAGAACAACACACGCTCACACACACACTCTCACACACACACACACACACACACACCACACACACACACACACGCACACACAACACACACGCTCACACACTCTCCCTCCCCCTCACTCTCGTGACGCTGATAATAACGACGTGGAACTTCTCTAAAACACAAACTGACGTAGCAACGGTATACATTAAGATAAGGAAAATAATAGTGAGACGAAAAGCCTTCCTCTTATCTGTAATTCGGGAAACGCTGTGAATTATTGCTACAGCAGACGCTGCAACACTCAGCAGCGCTGCATATCACTGCAACAGCAGACGCTGGAACACTCAGCAACGCTGCACATCATTGCAACAACAGACGCTGGAACACTCAGAAGCGCTGCACATCATTGCAACAGCAGACGGTGGAACACTCAGCAGCGCTGCACATCATTGCAACAACAGACGCTGCAACACTCAGCAGCGCTGCACATCACTGCAACAGCAGACGCTCGAACACTCAGCAACGCTGCACATCACTGCAACAACAGACGCTGGAACACTCAGCAGCGCTGCACATCATTGCAACAACAGACGCTGGAACACTCAGCAACGCTGCACATCATTGCAACAGCAGACGCTGGAACACTCAGCAACGCTGCACATCACTGCAACAACAGGGCGCTGGAACACTCAGCAGCGCTGCACATCATTGCAACAACAGACGCTGGAACACTCAGCAAACGCTGCACATCATTGCAACAGTAGACGCTGGAACACTCAGCACGCTGCACATCACTGCAACACAGACGCTGGAACACTCAGCAGCGCTGCACATCATTGCAACAGCAGACGCTGGAACACTCAGCAGCGCTGCACATCATGCAACAGCAGACGTGGAACACTCAGCAGCGCTGCACATCATTGCAACAGCAGACGGTGGAACACCCAGCAGCGCTGCACATCATTGCAACAGCAGACGCTGGAACACTCAGCAGCGCTGCACATCATTGCAACAGCAGACGCTGGAACACTCAGCAGCGCTGCACATCACTGCAACAGCAGACGTTGGAACACCCAGCAGCGCTGCACATCATTGCAACAGCAGACGCTGGAACACTCAGCAGCGCTGCCACATTCATTGCAACAGCAGACGCTGGAACACCCAGCAGCGCTGCACATCATTGCAACAACAGACGCTGGAACACTCAGCAGCGCTGCACATCATTGCAACAGCAGACGCTGGAACACTCAGCAGCGCTGCACATCACTGCAACAGCAGACGCTGGAACACCCAGCAGCGCTGCACATCACTGCAACAGCAGACACTGGAACACTCAGCAGCGCTGCACATCATTGCAACAGCAGACGCTGGAACACCCAGCAGCGCTGCACATCACTGCAACAGCAGACGCTGGAACACTCAGCAACGCTGCACATCATTGCAACAGCAGACGGTGGAACACTCAGCAGCGCTGCACATCATTGCAACAACAGACGCTGGAACACTCAGCAGCGCTGCACATCATTGCAACAGCAGACGCTGGAACACCCAGCAGCGCTGCACATCACTGCAACAGCAGACGCTGGAACACTCAGCAGCGCTGCACATCATTGGAACAGCAGACGCTGGAACACTCAGCAGCGCTGCACATCATTGCAACAACAGACGCTGGAACACTCAGCAGCGCTGCACATCATTGCAACAACAGACGCTGGAACACTCAGCAGCGCTGCACATCATTGCAACAGCAGACGCTGGAACACTCAGCAGCGCTGCACATCACTGCAACAGCAGACGGTGGAACACTCAGCGCTGCACATCATTGCAACAGCAGACGGTGGAACACTCAGCAGCGCTGCACATCACTGCAACAGCAGACGGTGGAACACTCAGTAGCGCTGCACATCATTGCAACAGCAGACGCTGGAACACTCAGCAGCGCTGCACATCATTGCAACAGCAGACGCTGGAACACTCAGCAGCGCTGCACATCATTGCAACAGCAGACGCTGGAACACTCAGCAGCGCTGCACATCATTGCAACAGCAGACGGTGGAACACTCAGCAGCGCTGCACATCATTGCAACAGCAGACGCTGGAACACTCAGCAGCGCTGCACATCACTGCAACAGCAGACGGTGCAACACTCAGCAGCGCTGCACATCATTGCAACAGCAGACGGTGGAACACCCAGCAGCGCTGCACATCATGCAACAGCAGACGTGGAACACTCAGCAGCCTGCACATCATTGCAACAGCAGACCCGTGGAACACTCAGCAGCGCTGCACATCATTGCAACAGCAGACGCTGGAACACTCAGCAGCGCTGCACATCATTGCAACAGCAGACGCTGGAACACTCAGCAGCGCTGCACATCATTGCAACAGCAGACGCTGGAACACCCAGCAGCGCTGCACATCACTGCAACAGCAGACGCTGGAACACTCAGCAGCGCTGCACATCATTGCAACAGCAGACGCTGGAACACTCAGCAGCGCTGCACATCATTGCAACAACAGACGCTGGAACACTCAGCAGCGCTGCACATCATTGCAACAGCAGACGCTGGAACACCCAGCAGCGCTGCACATCACTGCAACAGCAGACGCTGGAACACTCAGCAGCGCTGCACATCATTGCAACAGCAGACGCTGGAACACTCAGCAAGCGCTGCACATCATTGCAACAACAGACGCTGGAACACTCAGCAGCGCTGCACATCATTGCAACAACAGACGCTGGAACACTCAGCAGCGCTGCACATCATTGCAACAGCAGACGCTGGAACACTCAGCAGCGCTGCACATCACTGCAACAGCAGACGGTGGAACACTGAGCAGCGCTGCACATCATTGCAACAGCAGACGGTGGAACACTCAGCAGCGCTGCACATCACTGCAACAGCAGACGTGGAACACTCAGTAGCGCTGCCACATCATTGCAACAGCAGACGTGGAACACTCAGCAGCGCTGCACATCATTGCAACAGCAGACGCTGGAACACTCAGCAGCGCTGCACATCATTGCAACAGCAGACGCTGGAACACTCAGCAGCGTTGCACATCATTGCAACAGCAGACGGTGGAACACTCAGCAGCGTGATCATTGCAACAGCAGAGCTGGAACACTCAGCAGCGCTGCACATCACTGCAACAACAGACGTGGCACACTCAGCAGCGCTGCACATCATTGCAAACAGCAGTCGGTGGAACACCAGCAGCGCTGCACATCATTGCAACAGCAGACGCTGGAACATCAGCAGCACTGCACATCATTGCAACAGCAGACACTGGAACACTCAGCAGGCTGCAATCATTGCAAACGCAGACGCTGGTACACTCAGCAGCGCTGCACTCATTGCAACAGCAGACGCTGGAACAACTCAGCAGCGCTGCACATCATTGCAACAGCAGACGCTGGAACACTCAGCAGCGCTGCACATCATTGCAACAGCAGACGCTGGAACACTCAGCAGCGCTGCACATCATTGCAACAACAGACGCTGGAACACTCAGCAGCGCTGCACATCATTGCAACAGCAGACGCTGGAACACTCAGCAGCGCTGCACATCACTGCAACAGCAGACGGTGGAACACTCAGCTGCGCTGCACATCATTGCAACAGCAGACGGTGGAACACTCAGCAGCGCTGCACATCACTGCAACA